GGCGCAGCCCGCTCTCGCGGAGCTGCACCGCCGGCCGCCGGGCGAGGCAGGGGCCACCGTGCCTTCTGCGCACCCACGCGGGTCCCTTATTCGAGAGAGCACCGACCGACGGACCCGCAGCGAGGCCGGATCTCAGACTGGCCACCGCGTCGGGGAAGGCACGACAGACAGCCACCCACACCCACTGCCTGCCCCTCGCCCTCTCTCACCTGCCTGCACCGTGTCCGAAAGGTCGTGCCCGGGGGCCGCGGTCCTGGGAAATTCCTTCAGTTTCCTGGCGCTGAGGTTCAACCCCCCGGAGTTGGCCGCTTCCTCCAGCGCGCGCTCCAGCCCCCGGTTCAAGGGCAGGTTGAAGCCCCCGCTGCCGCCGCCGCCGCCGCCGCCGCCTCCCCCAGCCCCGCCGCCGGCCCCGGTTCCTCCGTGGTGGTGGTGGTGGGGATGATGATGTGGGTGCAGAGTAGCCACTGAGAGGGCAGGCACGAAAGGTTGGGGTTCGCTTCCCGGCGTCGCCATCTTCTCCCGGGCCCCCCAACCCCGCCCCGCCGCTCCTGCGGGGGGGGTCACAGCTTTCCCCCGAGAGGGGGAGACGGCACCTCGGGCCGAGTCCCTGCAGTGCTCCACCGAAAGATGCTGGAAGAAGGGGGGGAGGGTGTGGCAGGCGCGCGGAATGGGGGGCGGACGGGGAGGCGGCAGTGGCAGCTCGGTCTCGAAGGTTTCCTGTCCCCGACAAGCTGAGGACTGCGGCGGCGGCGGCCGCGGCAGGCAGCGCGCATGTGTCTCCTCCCGCCCCTGCTCCCTCCTCTCCGCCGCTCTCCCCTCCTCCGCCGCCTGCTCTCTCCTCCTCCTTCCCCCAAGCTGTCAGTCCAGCCCCGAACCTTCCTCCGCGGCCAGCCAGGCTGCCCTCGCCGCTTCGCTGCGCTCGGCCGGGCATTCCGGGGACGTGAGGGGGCTGGACGCCTGCACGGACGTCCCTTTCATTTAGACGCCGAATGCCTCTGGGTTTTTGTTTGTTTGTTTGTTTGTTTTGCTGCCCAGGGGGTTTTAAGGAAGAAGAGGTTTTAGGGGGTCTGAAAAATCTAGGCGGCGACGCAATAGATGAGATTTGAAATACAGTGAGATCACGAGGAGGTGAGAGGTTATCTCAATTCTGTGAATTATTCTGGCTCTTTGACCCAGAGTTCCCCAAGAGGCAGTTTTTCACTGTGGGGTCAGTTTTTCACAGACGACCCCTGGCATTTGGGCGCCTATAATGAGCCAGACACTGGTCTAGGTAGTCTACATTATCTCATTAATCCAGGAACCCTATGAGCGGAAAAATTGTTTCCCCAGTCCACAGAGGAAGTTGAGAAACTAGTCTAAGGTCACCCATTCAGTCAGAGGCGGAGCTGGATTCGAACTTGCAGCCCTCAGACTCTAGAGTTGCCCTCCTTCCTGTACGCTCCTGGGCCGGGCCCCAGCGCGGACACACAAATAGGAGTAGAGCAGGCGGTTTTCTGAGCGGCGGTAGAAAACTACAGACACAGAAAGGAAGGACTTTCAAAACGAGGGTAGTTTTTATGGTGGACGGAATCCATTGTCATATGAGGGAGAGGGGCTGGCTGTGGCTGACTGAGCCCCGGAATTGGGCGGTGCGAGGAGAGGTTAGAAAGCCAGCGACCCCAAGTAGCCAATAACTCAGTCACAGTTTGAGCCTGCCCACAATCACCGTCCAAGTGTCCTCCTGCGGCTTCTATTTGCACCTGTGGGGCATGGGAACTGTCGTGTCCGCTAGCAAGCGAATTCACGCTGTGCCCAGACCAAGGCTGGCACACCAGAGGTGACAGAATATCTGACACCGTAAGGGCAGAGCAGCTGCCAACTCCTTTCCGAAGTTTCAGCTCCAGCTCTCTAGGGCCTTTATTTTTCCTCTGTACCCGAGGCTGATCGTCACTATAATCGACTTGGCTAGAGGAAATGGGATGCAGGTCAAGTACGAAAATGATACAACCCTTGGAGTAGGGGATCCGGTTTTTTAAGTGGCCATGGAGAAAGGTGGTGGACTGGGCAACAGGCTGGAACTTGTGACTTCATGGACTCGGCACTAAAAGTACGACATGGTGCATGTCACTTGCATTGACTGCGTGCGTAGTCGCTGTTCAGTCCTGCGGCATTCTAGGCTGAATCAAACATTCTAGTCTCCTCGGAGGAGACAAGCGCCACCTGCTGGTATCCTGCCTCAAAACCTCCCCTCTCCCCAACCGCCTTTTCCCCTCAGCCTCCCAGACTTCGGAAAAACAGGATTGGAAATAACAATAATAATAACAACAATAAATTAAAGTATAATTACATCATTTATAAAAACTAACCCACCTTCCCCTTTCTTCACTGGTCTTTCCCCAAAAGGCAGTGAGAAACAGAAAGAGAGACAGAAAAAAATGTCAATAGAAAATCTTCAGCTAAAACCAGGTGGTGTCTGAGCGATCAGTATACAGGCTATGGTTGAGGATATCTTCTGGCAGCCTGCAAATTTAGTTCAGACCACGAATTGTGGTGATGCATCCTACAGAGCATAATTTTTTTTAAAGACCACAGATTTTTTTTAAGAAAAAAATGATGGAATATGAGTCCAGGATTTGCTTTTTAACAAATGTTCATCCTTATGTTAGATTGACCTAGTCATTATAGCTTGCTTTACCTTCTACAGATTACTAAAGCGTCAACTCCTTGAGGGCGGTACCTACTCATCTTTGCAACTCCCTCCCCATATCCCAGGATCTAGAAGAGTACTTTGTGTATAATGAGTGTACAATGAATATTAGTAATTATACATTGCACAATAGACCAAGTGTTTTACAGGTTGCCATTTGTTGAAACATCTTTCAAATGATGTCCTTGACTGAATCAGTTTTTCCTCGAAATGGGAGAGAGTACTTGACCCTTGAAACTGATCTTGATTATTTCTAAATATTCAAGAAATGTGACAAGCCATTTTCTCTTTCTGTCTTGCTTCTTTGCTCTTTTTTCAATAAGGAGGACCTCTCTGCTTTGTGTAATACCCTTTTTACTTCTTCTGAAAACAGTACCCTCTTTCTGTTCCACTCTCCGCATTCCATCACATAGTCCTCTGATAGCAGCTGTGTCATTACATCGACCCAGCTGGCGGTCTTGGTTAGTCCAGAAGTGGACTTCTGACCAAATGACAGAGCACCCACAGGATCAGAGTATCCGGTTGTGTTCAGACCTAGATTCTGACTGTTCCTGAATTGCATCTTTGGTTTCTGTGAGATATCCAGCATATTTATAATACATTCTGCTGTTTGCTTAAATCAGTTTTATTTGGTTTTCTGTCAGTACAACCAAGAGTTCTAATTAATATATCCAATTTACCATATTTTGGTCTTTATTTCCCTTTGTTTTCCTAGGTAGCCTCATTTTTGGAGGGTCCGCAAATAACCTTTTACAAACTATTTGGATGATGACAGCAGATTTTTTTCATGCTTTGTCTTTAGTACCTTCCAGTTGATTGAGAAAATGGCGGAAATAGATATATTCTCAGCTTAAAATATGGGCTATTAGGAGAAAAGTGATCAGTTTCATCAATAAATAAAAAAATTTTAGAACCCATTGTTTTTTAATTCTTCTTGTGCTCAGAAAAGACACTAGATCATGAACTTTTCCACATTTAAGACCAACCAGCTCTTTTATTCTTGCCTGAAACATGGAGCTGTGGACAAGCTTATAAAAATCAAACTTATTAAGAAGGGCGGATAGGGGCCGGCCCGGTGGCACAAGTGGTTAAGTTTGCGCGCTCCGCTGCAGTGGCCCAGGGTTCGCCAGTTCGGATCCCGGGCGCACACCAACGCACCGCTTGGCAAGCCATGCTGTGGCGGCGTCCCATATAAACTAGAGGAAGATGGGCATGGATGTTAGTCCAGGGCCAGTCTTCCTCAGCAAAAAGAGGAGGATTGGCAGATGTTAGCTCAGGGCTGATCTTCCTGACAAAAGAAAAAAAAAGAATGGCAGATAGATTTGAGCACGGCTATTCAGCCCATATCACCTTCTTAGCAAATCAATGAGAATTCTATTTTGGTGGGAACTCAAAAGCATTTGCTGAATTAGTGGGCGTGGTCAGACATGTGTGTCCTTCATGGTTCTGACTGCCCCATCCTGCCACAGCTAATTAGACAAGAGTGGCTGACACACCTTCCTGTCAGCCCCAGCAGGTGAGTCCAGCCATCAGACTCTCCTGAAAATTTAAGCAAAAGCACACCAAGACCATAGTCAAATAATAACAGACATTTGATCCCAAAGGCAGGCAGAGTCAGGGCTTATTTCTACCTTGATATTCTCCAACCTCTTCTCTTCAGTTTCCTCTTTCCTAAAAAAGGAGCAAGAATATTTTCTGATTAACATCGCCCTTTTCTGGTTACTCCCTCCACATGTTATCAGTACTAAAGTATTCTCTTTGTACTGTATCTGTAAATATTTATCAGTAAACATTATCTGTAAATGATAGGGTATGTTGTATTCACTAGCTTTTAAGTACATCAAGGGCAGAGCTCAGACCTTTTTTCCCCGGAAATTCAATAAATAATGTTGTCTGACTGAGACATTTGTATATTGTAAGGCAACTAATAACACCAACATGAATTTCTCTGAAGATAATCAATAATACTATCTTGGACACATTTAGGAGATTTTTCTAGCATTTCCAAAACACTAATCTGAACCAGTTGGTTAGTGACAAAGTGACCCTGGCCAAATGAGAAAAATTAGCGCAATGTCCCGAGTTTTTCATAAAGCTGAATGCATTCCATTTCAAGAATTGTATGTAAATGTTGGACTGTGTATGTAATTGTGAGACTGTGTTTTCCTATTTTTTTCTAGTGGAAAAAAGATAAAACAATGGTAATAATAAAGTCTAGTTAAATAAGTCTGTCATTATTTGAAAAAAAAAAGGAGGCCACTAGAATCAGCTCCCAAATTAAATTTGTGTGTGTGTGTGTGAGGAAGATCAGCCCTGAGCTAACATTCGATGCCAATCCTCCTCTTTTTGCTGAGGAAGATTGGCCCTAGGCTAACATCCGTGCCCATCTTCCTCTACTTTATATGGGACACTGCCACAGCATGGCTTTGACAAGTGGTGTGTCAGTGCGCGCCCGGGATCCCAGCCTGCAAACCCCGGGCTGCCGCAGTAGAGTGCATGCACTTAACTGCTGTGCCACTGGGCCGGCCCCCAAAATTAATTTTTTTAATGTTACTTATCTATGAAATCAAAAAGCTCAAGAACTACTCGCTTAGACTCTTGGTTTTCTTAAAAGGGAGTTAGTCATGCTTAACTCCAGTTATCTGCCTTCAAGCGTTTTCTCAAGCCTTGCTCACACTAACTGTAATTTAATGTAATGCCTACGTATCTTTGTGACAGCGTGTCGTTTGTTTGGGTTTCCTCCCCCACCCCCTTCCTATTTACTAGGCATGCCCATTCCAGAATTTATCATAAATCTGAAAAGAAGATATTTCCCACCTTTGGATTTTGAAATATTTCACAGCTGACTACGGCCTGTTGCAGCTTTTTTGCCTTCTCCGCTCTAATCCTCCCAACAAAAACCCTAAACCCCTCACAGGGGCTCATTTTCACCTCTCATGAGCAGAGCAGCAGCAGCTGCTACCATGTGACCAGGCCCTGCTCTGCCTCTTTCCCCCTGTTCTTTCCGAGACTAAAGCACAGCTCAAGCTCCTAGACAGGAAGACGTTATGTCCTCCTTTCCACTGCAGCTCCTGTT